CGCTGCAGACCCCAAAAGTAACGTCTAAACTTTAGAGTTAAATTAGACCTGGAGCCCATCCTCGCTGTACACCCCAAAGGTAACGTCTAAACTTTAGAGTTAAATTAGACCTGGAGCCCATCCTCGCTGCAGACCCCAAAGGTAACGTCTAAACTTTAGAGTTAAATAAGACCTGGAGCCCATCCTCGCTGTAGACCCCAAAGGTAACGTCTAAACTTTAGAGTTAAATTAGACCTGGAGCCCATCCTCGCTGTAGACCCCAAAGGTAACGTCTAAACTTTAGAGTTAAATTAGACCTGGAGCCCATCCTCGCTGTACACCCCAAAGGTAACGTCTAAACTTTAGAGTTAAATTAGACCTGGAGCCCATCCTCGCTGCAGACCCCAAAGGTAACGTCTAAACTTTAGAGTTAAATAAGACCTGGAGCCCATCCTCGCTGTAGACCCCAAAGGTAACGTCTAAACTTTAGAGTTAAATTAGACCTGGAGCCCATCCTCGCTGTAGACCCCAAAGGTAACGTCTAAACTTTAGAGTTAAATTAGACCTGGAGCCCATCCTCGCTGCAGACCCCAAAGGTAACGTCTAAACTTTAGAGTTAAATTAGACCTGGAGCCCATCCTCGCTGCAGACCCCAAAGGTAACGTCTAAACTTTAGAGTTAAATTAGACCTGGAGCCCATCCTCGCTGCAGACCCCAAAGGTAACGTCTAAACTTTAGAGTTAAATTAGACCTGGGGCCCATCCTCGCTGCAGACCCCAAAGGTAACGTCTAAACTTTAGAGTTAAATTAGACCTGGAGCCCATCCTCGCTGTAGACCCCAAAGGTAACGTCTAAACTTTAGAGTTAAATTAGACCTGGAGCCCATCCTCGCTGTAGACCCCAAAGGTAACGTCTAAACTTTAGAGTTAAATTAGACCTGGAGCCCATCCTCGCTGCAGACCCCAAAGGTAACGTCTAAACTTTAGAGTTAAATTAGACCTGGGGCCCATCCTCGCTGTAGACCCCAAAGGTAACGTCTAAACTTTAGAGTTAAATTAGACCTGGAGCCCATCCTCGCTGCAGACCCCAAAGGTAACGTCTAAACTTCAGTTAAATTAGACCTGGAGCCCATCCTCGCTGTAGACCCCAAAGGTAACGTCTAAACTTTAGAGTTAAATTAGACCTGGGGCCCATCCTCGCTGTAGACCCCAAAGGTAACGTCTAAACTTCAGTTAAATTAGACCTGGAGCCCATCCTCGCTGCAGACCCCAAAGGTAACGTCTAAACTTTAGTTAAATTAGACCTGGGGCCCATCCTCGCTGCAGACCCCAAAGGTAATGTCTAAACTTTAGAGTTAAATTAGACCTGGGGCCCATCCTCGCTGTAGACCCCAAAGGTAACGTCTAAACTTTAGAGTTAAATTAGACCTGGGGCCCATCCTCGCTGCAGACTCCAAAGGTAACGTCTAAACTTTAGAGTTAAATTAGACCTGGGGCCCATCCTCGCTGTAGACCCCAAAGGTAACGTCTAAACTTTAGTTAAATTAGACCTGGGGCCCATCCTCGCTGTAGACCCCAAAGGTAATGTCTAAACTTTAGAGTTAAATTAGACCTGGGGCCCATCCTCGCTGCAGACCCCAAAGGTAACGTCTAAACTTTAGAGTTAAATAAGACCTGGGGCCCATCCTCGCTGTAGACCCCAAAGGTAACGTCTAAACTTTAGTTAAATTAGACCTGGGGCCCATCCTCGCTGTAGACCCCAAAGGTAACGTCTAAACTTTAGAGTTAAATTAGACCTGGAGCCCATCCTCGCTGTAGACCCCAAAGGTAATGTCTAAACTTTAGAGTTAAATTAGACCTGGGGCCCATCCTCGCTGCAGACCCCAAAGGTAACGTCTAAACTTTAGAGTTAAATTAGACCTGGAGCCCATCCTCGCTGTAGACCCCAAAGGTAACGTCTAAACTTTAGAGTTAAATTAGACCTGGGGCCCATCCTCGCTGTAGACCCCAAAGGTAACGTCTAAACTTTAGAGTTAAATTAGACCTGGGGCCCATCCTCGCTGTAGACCCCAAAGGTAACGTCTAAACTTTAGAGTTAAATTAGACCTGGGGCCCATCCTCGCTGTAGACCCCAAAGGTAACGTCTAAACTTTAGAGTTAAATTAGACCTGGGGCCCATCCTCGCTGTAGACCCCAAAGGTAACGTCTAAACTTCAGAGTTAAATTAGACCTGGGGCCCATCCTCGCTGTAGACCCCAAAGGTAACGTCTAAACTTTAGTTAAATTAGACCTGGGGCCCATCCTCGCTGTAGACCCCAAAGGTAACGTCTAAACTTTAGAGTTAAATTAGACCTGGAGCCCATCCTCGCTGTAGACCCCAAAGGTAACGTCTAAACTTTAGAGTTAAATTAGACCTGGGGCCCATCCTCGCTGTAGACCCCAAAGGTAACGTCTAAACTTTAGAGTTAAATTAGACCTGGGGCCCATCCTCGCTGTAGACCCCAAAGGTAACGTCTAAACTTTAGAGTTAAATTAGACCTGGAGCCCATCCTCGCTGTAGACCCCAAAGGTAACGTCTAAACTTTAGAGTTAAATTAGACCTGGGGCCCATCCTCGCTGTAGACCCCAAAGGTAACGTCTAAACTTCAGAGTTAAATTAGACCTGGGGCCCATCCTCGCTGTAGACCCCAAAGGTAACGTCTAAACTTTAGTTAAATTAGACCTGGAGCCCATCCTCGCTGTAGACCCCAAAGGTAACGTCTAAACTTTAGTTAAATTAGACCTGGAGCCCATCCTCGCTGCAGACCCCAAAGGTAACGTCTAAACTTTAGAGTTAAATAAGACCTGGGGCCCATCCTCGCTGTAGACCCCAAAGGTAACGTCTAAACTTTAGTTAAATTAGACCTGGGGCCCATCCTCGCTGCAGACCCCAAAGGTAACGTCTAAACTTTAGTTAAATTAGACCTGGAGCCCATCCTCGCTGTAGACCCCAAAGGTAACGTCTAAACTTTAGTTAAATTAGACCTGGAGCCCATCCTCGCTGTAGACCCCAAAGGTAACGTCTAAACTTTAGAGTTAAATAAGACCTGGGGCCCATCCTCGCTGTAGACCCCAAAGGTAACGTCTAAACTTTAGAGTTAAATTAGACCTGGAGCCCATCCTCGCTGTAGACCCCAAAGGTAACGTCTAAACTTTAGAGTTAAATTAGACCTGGAGCCCATCCTCGCTGTACACCCCAAAGGTAACGTCTAAACTTTAGAGTTAAATTAGACCTGGAGCCCATCCTCGCTGCAGACCCCAAAGGTAACGTCTAAACTTTAGAGTTAAATAAGACCTGGAGCCCATCCTCGCTGTAGACCCCAAAGGTAACGTCTAAACTTTAGAGTTAAATTAGACCTGGAGCCCATCCTCGCTGTAGACCCCAAAGGTAACGTCTAAACTTTAGAGTTAAATTAGACCTGGAGCCCATCCTCGCTGCAGACCCCAAAGGTAACGTCTAAACTTTAGAGTTAAATTAGACCTGGAGCCCATCCTCGCTGCAGACCCCAAAGGTAACGTCTAAACTTTAGAGTTAAATTAGACCTGGAGCCCATCCTCGCTGCAGACCCCAAAGGTAACGTCTAAACTTTAGAGTTAAATTAGACCTGGGGCCCATCCTCGCTGCAGACCCCAAAGGTAACGTCTAAACTTTAGAGTTAAATTAGACCTGGAGCCCATCCTCGCTGTAGACCCCAAAGGTAACGTCTAAACTTTAGAGTTAAATTAGACCTGGAGCCCATCCTCGCTGTAGACCCCAAAGGTAACGTCTAAACTTTAGAGTTAAATTAGACCTGGAGCCCATCCTCGCTGCAGACCCCAAAGGTAACGTCTAAACTTTAGAGTTAAATTAGACCTGGAGCCCATCCTCGCTGTAGACCCCAAAGGTAACGTCTAAACTTTAGAGTTAAATTAGACCTGGAGCCCATCCTCGCTGCAGACCCCAAAGGTAACGTCTAAACTTTAGAGTTAAATTAGACCTGGAGCCCATCCTCGCTGCAGACCCCAAAGGTAACGTCTAAACTTTAGAGTTAAATTAGACCTGGGGCCCATCCTCGCTGCAGACCCCAAAGGTAATGTCTAAACTTCAGAGTTAAATTAGACCTGGAGCCCATCCTCGCTGTAGACCCCAAAGGTAATGTCTAAACTTTAGAGTTAAATAAGACCTGGAGCCCATCCTCGCTGTAGACCCCAAAGGTAACGTCTAAACTTTAGAGTTAAATTAGACCTGGAGCCCATCCTCGCTGTAGACCCCAAAGGTAACGTCTAAACTTTAGAGTTAAATTAGACCTGGAGCCCATCCTCGCTGTAGACCCCAAAGGTAACGTCTAAACTTTAGAGTTAAATAAGAAGGAAACGATGGGTGTTTTCTGTATTTATGACATATTAGAATAATAAACTTAATAAGACAATTTAATCTACATCCATCTACTTTATATACTACTAGTTTGTATGTATACATATATATATATATAATAATCTTCTCTTATAAACCGTTGTTTCTCTGATGTGGGGCAGTTAAGTTTTATATCCAGAAAAAATATTCTTCTTCTGGTCAATAAAATCATCAGCATTAAGTTGTGAGCTAATGGCTAACATGCTAACTAGCCTTAAAGGTGGGTTAGGTAATTCACTTCAGCCGCTCAGCATCAGGTACCATGGAGATCTAGCCCGCTAAAAAGAGAACCAGCGTCGTAGGACCCGAAAGCCCGAGTTGTCCCTGAAGTTAGCTAAGAGAACATCCGGCTTCGTAGTACAGGCCTCTGGTTTCTCCATTCTTACCTACCCCACCTTTAAGTTAGACGCCCACTGCTAACATGCTAAATAGCCTTAAGGGCCTGAACATAATGTACAGCAATGATTTTGATATGATGATAATATGCTGCGGGGGCCTCGGCCCGGAGCAGCTGCACTATGATAAGAGATTATTAAATGTTGTTGTTGTTGTTGTTGTGATGCTAATGGTGTGATGATGTGTATCATTAGGCTTGCCCACGGCCCCGGAGAAGCTCCACTACACGGACCGTGGGAAGAGCTCCATCTCTCTGGCCTGGGAGGTGCCCCGCTCTGACGGAGGCAGCCCCATCCTGGGCTACGTTCTGGAGAAGATGCGCTCTGACGCCTCAGAGTTCGAGCCGGCCAGCAGGAAGATGTTCCCCGAGTGCTGCGGCACGCTGGAGAACCTCACGGAGAACATGGAGTACGAGTTCAGGGTCCATGCCGTCACCGAGGTGGGAGACGGAGACAACTGCAAGCCAATCAGCGTCTGCATCCAGGACGACGAGAGTAAACACCTTTTATTATAATTATTAGGAATATTATTTATAAATATCAGTGATATTAATATTATTACTGAATCACAGAAAAACATCCCGGACAATGAGAGTAAACACAACTTTTATTATTTATAGTTATTAGGAATATTAGTTATATTATTCATAATTATTATTCATATTATGACTGAATCACATGATCCAGGACGACGAGAGTAAACACGTTGTATTATTTATAATTATCAGTAATATTTGTACTGAATGACAGCACCAGGATTTTGGACAAAATGACGAGCACCATTTTTATAATCAATGTTATTATTGTATATTTAAGTGAATATAAAGATAGGATGTATACAAATCTTGTGCAGCTTCAACATTCAAGAAAGTTCTTTGAGGAGGTTTTATTTAAAGTACATGAAAACACGATCAGTAACCGAAGACTGATTCTGAGATTCTGACCTACGGAGCATTAAAACGTCAGTGTAATAACCATGAGGTCCTCAGGGTGCAGCTCTCCTCAGAGGACCTTGTTCCAGTGAGAGGAGACGTTTGACCGTTCTTCTCTCTGTGTGTTCAGTTGCTCCGGCGATCACCATCCTGAAGTTCTTCAAGAATAACTGCATCAGCGTGAAGAAGGGCTCTTCCATCGATGTGCCGGCGGAGGTGCTGGGGCTGCCCCTGCCCACACTGCGCTGGACCAAGGACGGAGAGGAGCTGCTGCCGCTGGAGAACAAGCTGAGCCTGGAGACCGAGGAGGTACGAGACCTGATCTCTGGCTGCATTTTGCTCATTATTTATCTAATTCAAGATTCAAGGCGTTTATTGTCATGTGTACGTACCTACAGTGGAGTTATGTGAAAGACAATCTGAGGTCACAGGCTCCTCCAACAGAGCAACACAATACAACTGATAAAATAGTGTAAATACAATCAAATAGAATAGAAGTAGTGCTATTTTTATTAATATATAAATAAATACATTAAACAATGAATATGGAAAATAAATTCATACATAAATACAATTAAATACAAAAATGAATGGCAAATAAAAGATAACTCACCCCATGTTCTCTGGTCTCCAGGTGACCCGGACCACCCTCCGGACGAAGATCTCCCTCCCAGGAACCATCAGGAAGGACACGGGCAGCTACAAGCTGCAGGCGGAGAACTGCTGGGGCAGCGCGGAGCACACCGTCCGGGTGGAGATACTGGGTGAGGAACCAGACCTCCTCAAACCTCTTACCTCCTTTCCGTCCGGATGTTTTATTAAACGTGTCTCTGTGCCCTCAGACCGGCCTCTTCCTCCCAGGAACATCGTGGTGTCGGACATCAAGGCGGAGTCCTGCTACCTGACCTGGGACGCGCCCGAGGATAACGGAGGCAGCGAGATCACCAACTACATCCTGGAGAGAAGAGACGCCAGCAAGAAGAAGTCCGACTTCGAGCTGGTCACCGTGCACCTGATCGACCGCAGATACGGGGTGAGACTTCACGAGAGGGATATGAGATATTTTAAATACAGGTATAGGTTAGATTTAACACAACGTAATGCAGTGAGCATCCAACCAGCAGTGAAGAAGAATCATATATAATACAAGAATATACATAGTACAGATATATGTAAAGTATATACAGTATATATGGAAGTAAACCGTAGTGCTGGAAACACCATGGAGCAGGTCGACTGGTCCCTCAGGGTTCCTTCCCGTATCCAGGATGTGGAATATTTCATCCTGAAGGCTGTGGTTATATACGATACGATATACTTTATTGTCCCGGTAAGGACATTTGTTCTGGACTCCGTCCTGCAGTTCGCATACATGTACATATACAAACATAATAAACATTCAAATACATGCACATATCCTCACTCATGCACCGTTTGCACAAACATAGATGCACATACTGACAGTAGCCCTGACGAGTACCAGTTCAGGATCGCAGCCTTCAACGCTGCCGGGGTCGGGCCCCACTGCGAGCCCACCGAGTGCAAGCTGCACACAGAACAGAACTGAGATGTTGTTTGAATGTTAATTGTTGGTAAAATTCTGAGTGTCCTCTTCCAATCTCAGAGTAACATGCTAACAAAGGTATCCCAACTGTAGCTGTGTACATGACAGGATGTATGATTACCTAGAAGAGCGTCAGGACTGTTTTACCGACAATGGCGACCTATTGCCCAACCCTCATGGCCAACATTTAAAAGTGTATAACATTACATGTGAGTGTCGAGAAGCTTAATTAGGAACCCTGAATCTTCTACCAGAAGGTAGGAGCTGGAAAAAAAAGTCCAGGCGGGGAAAAAAGTCCAGGCGGACTAAGCTTTGGGCACATTTGGGCACATCTAGTTCCATCAGTGCCATTTGACCTTTTTCGGGTACTAGACTGTAAAAATCATTTTTATAACATTGAATCATCACTATGGTTATTCATTCCATCAAAAAAAAAAAGATTATTGTAAAATTTAAAAAATAAATCAAAATATTTAACCTGCTAATTATTGTCATGGATTTGAAAGAGCCGCCATTTTCTTTGCTCGCATCAGCATTATTAGCATTAGCATTCGCCCAGCGCAGAAACGCAGAGAGACTAACTTATGGCAACACAAAAGAAAACATGGGAGCGGTGGAGATGAGGAGGTGTCGGCGTTCTGGCGATTTCCTCTGAAGGCTTCAGTAGAAGCTGCTGGGAGTCCCAGCAGCTTCTACTGAAGCCTTCCCCAACTCCGGGGACTTCCGGCCGGGGACTCCGGGTGGCAGTATACGCCGTGAAGTGGTTTGCGGCCTGCCAGTAAACCCAAAGCAGAAGAAGAAGAAGAAGAAGTGGCGTCAGCGGCTCATTTGCGTAATCTTCCCTCGGGGAAAAGTACTCCGGTGTGAACGCGATCTGTACTAAATGCCCTGGGGTCATAAGTGCCGGGGCACTGAGCGCCGGCACTAAATACGGCAAAGTACTTGGTGTGAACGCGCCTAATGAAAGGCTCGTCAGTTAGCTGAGTTTCTTCCCGTCAGCTGGGTGTGGAACATTAATAGTTTCATAAATGACACTTCAGAGATCACACTGGTGTTAGCAGATGTAGCATTTTCGGACCCTTCGGCGGGTCCGTGGGGTTTAACAGGTTTAAATGTATAACCTGTGACTGTGTTTCCCCCCCAGGTGCACAAGCTGAACGTGAACGGGCAGTACCAGTTCCGCCTCAAAGCCGAGAACAAGTACGGCGTGAGCGACGGCTGCGACTCGGAGAAGGTTGAGCTGAAGGAACCCTTCGGCCTGCCCGGACCCCCGCGCAACCCCAAGGTCCTGCGGGCCACGGCCACCACTATGACTGTGACCTGGGAGCCCCCCCTGGACAACGGGGGCTCCAGCATCCAGGGCTACTGGCTGGAGAAGAGGGAGCGCGGGGCCGTGTACTGGGGCCGCGTCAACAGGGCGCCGGTCACCAAGCCCTCGGTGAAGGGCCTGCAGTACACTGTGCTGAAGCTCATCGAGGGGTCCGTGTACCAGTTCAGGATTGCAGCCTGCAACGCTGCCGGGGTCGGGCCCCACTGCGAGCCCACCGAGTGCAAGCTGGCCATGGAACCCTGCAGTGAGTACCTCAACCCTCATGAAGCAGCCTCTTGATCTCATAGGAGGGGAGCACGTAACAACCATATAGACACATTCATTTCCAAGCATGTGGACTACCTATGTTGTAAAGGTATCATCTTTTCTATTTACACACGGCATCTATTGCAGTCCGTCCTCTGTTGCTCTCCTCGAGGTTTATAACTGGGGGGTTTCTCCCATTCAAATGTCAGACTTGATCTGACCATTAAAGTATTATCGTATTGTTTCGTATAAATAAACATTGATTGATTGATTGATAACCCTGCTTCCCCCTCAGACCCCCCCAGCCCCCCCGGCTCCCCAGAGGTTAAAGACAAGACGAAGAGCAGCGTGACTCTGAGCTGGATCCCCCCCGACAGAGACGGAGGCAGCCCCATCAAGGGCTACATCATCGAGGTGCACGAAGAGGGCTCTCCTGATTGGAGGAGGGTCAACCCCGCCGATAAGCTCCACCCCCTGACGGAGATCACCGTCCCCGACCTGAAGGAGGGCAAGAAGTGCCGCTTCAGGATCTACGCCGTCAACGCCGCCGGCAACTCTGATCCCGCCAAGACCGGAGACGTGCTGGTGCAGGACATCCTGAGTAAGTCTGGACCGGGTCAGATCAGAACTCTGGTCTATAGCCGGGTCAGAACCAGAACTCTGGTCTGTAACCGGGTCAGAATCCAAACTCTGGTCTGTAGCCGGGTCAGAACGAGAACTATAGTCTGGAAGAGGGTCAGAACCAGAACTCTGGTCTATAGCCGGGTCAGAACCAGAACTCTGGTCTATAACCGGGTCAGAATCCAAACTCTGGTCTGTAGCCGGGTCAGAACGAGAACTATAGTCTGGAAGAGGGTCAGAACCAGAAATCAAGTCTATAGCCGGGTCAGAGTCAGAACTCAAGTCTATAGCTGGGTCAGAACCAGAACTCAAGTCTGGAGCCGGGTCAGAGTCAGAACTCTGGTCTATAGCCGGGTCAGAACCAGAACTCTGGTCTATAACCGGGTCAGAGTCAGAACTCAAGTCTGGAGCCGGGTCAGAGTCAGAACTCAAGTCTATCGCCGGGTCAGAACCAAAACTCAAGTTTATAGCCGGGTCAGAACCAGAAATCAAGTCTATAGCCGGGTCAGAGTCAGAACTCAAGTCTATAGCCAGGTCAGAACCAGAACTCAAGTCTATAGCCGGGTCAGAGTCAGAACTCAAGTCTATAGCTGGGTCAGAACCAGAACTCAAGTCTATAGCCGGGTCAGAGTCAGAACTCAAGTCTATAGCCAGGTCAGAACCAGAACTCAAGTCTATAGCCGGGTCAGAGTCAGAACTCAAGTTTATAGCTGGGTCAAAACCAGAACTCAAGTCTATAGCCGGGTCAGAGTCAGAACTCAAGTTTATAGCCGGGTCAGAACCAGAACTCAAGTCTATAGCCGGGTCAGAACCAGAACTCAAGTTTATAGCCGGGTCAGAACCAGAACTCAAGTCTATAGCCAGGTCAGAACCAGAACTCAAGTCTATAGCCGGGTCAGAGTCAGAACTCAACTTTATAGCTGGGTTAGAACCAGAACTCAAGTCTATAGCCGGGTCAGAGTCAGAACTCAAGTTTATAGCCGGGTCAGAACCAGAACTCAAGTCTATAGCCGGGTCAGAACCAGAACTCAAGTTTATAGCCGGGTCAGAACCAGAACTCAAGTTTATAGCCGGGTCAGAACCAGAACTCAAGTCTATAGCCGGGTTAGAACCAGAACTCAAGTCTATAGCTGGGTCAGAACCAGAACTCAATTCTGGAGCCGGGTCAGAGTCAGAACTCAAGACTATAGCCGGGTCAGAACCAGAACTCAAGTCTATAGCTGGGTCAGAACCAGAACTCAAGTCTGGAGCCGGGTCAGAGTCAGAATACCTTCATTGGTCCCACAGAGGGGACACTTACATTAGGCGCTTTCACACCGGAGTACCCATGAATAGTTCCGATAGTTCCTCGGGTTTTGCGTTCACACCAAAAAGATCTGGAAGTAGAACTTTTTTTTGCTAACCTATTCACCCCCGAAAGGGGGAGAAAAAGGTTCCAATTTCTGATTGGCTGGGCGGAATGCAAACCACGCCCCGTAAAACTCTGAAAGGTTTTTGTGAAGCCGCCATTTTCTTTGCTCGCATTAGCATTATTAGCATTAGCCCAGCGCAGAAACGCAGAGAGACTAACTTATGGCAACACAAAAGAAAACATGGGAGCGGTGGAGATGAGGAGGTGTCGGCGTTCTGGCGATTTCCTCTGAAGGCTTCAGTAGAAGCTGCTGGGAGTCCCAGCAGCTTCTACTGAAGCCTTCCTCAACTCCGGGGACTTCCGGCCGGGGACTCCGGGTGGCAGTATACGCCGTGAAGTGGTTTGCGGCCTGCCAGTAAACCCAAAGCAGAAGAAGACGAAGTGACGTCAGCGGCTCCCTCAGGGACTTATTCCGGTGTGAACGCGATTTACTAGAAAGTCCGTGAAATAAAAGTTCCGGGAACTCTTCCTGGGAAAAGTCCTTGGTGTGAAAGCGCCTCTTGTTACAGCAAAGTGAAGAGCCAAAAATAGCAAACATTATTGAATCAGAATCAGAAATGGGTTTATTGCCAGGTAGGTTCACACATACGAGGAAATTGACTTGATGTCGCGGAGCAGACATAAAATATAAAACAAGGAATATTAAAGATACACATTTTAATTACACAATTTACAAAATACCCATCCAGATGGACAACAAGTACAGACATAGTATTTATTGTACGTTTACACAAACAAGGAATTTGCTTTGCTCGTGCAAATATTAAACACAACATAATGAAATAAGTTGGAAGAGAATATCAAAGATCTAAGAATGCTGAGCAGGAGCAGCTCTCACACAGAAGTATTGATATATATATATTGAATAAGATGATCAGGTCTAAACCGCGTTGTTTGTCCCTGCAGTCGAGCCGGCGATGACTCTGAATGTGAATGCTCACGAGCTGCTGACCTGCAGAGCGGGAACCCCCCTGCAGATCCCCGTCTCCTTCAGCGGACGCCCCACCCCCAAACTCACCTGGACCTTCGACGGCCCCGCGGAGAGCGAGAAGAAGAACGACGTGCACACGCTGCCCATCGACTCCGAGGTGAGGAGCGCACACACAGAACAGAACTGAGATGTTGTTTGAATGTTAATTGTTGGTAAAATCCTGAATGTCCTCTTCCAACATGAGAGTAACATGCTAACAAAGGTATCCCAACTGTAGCTGTGAACATGACAGGATGTCTGATTACCTAGAAGAGCATCAGGACTGTTTGAGGCATATGATAGCTATGTGATGAACATGATGATTCAGCCTCTATGGAGATAGACATATGACAAGCATGCTCATTTCTGACGTGGAGCTAATCTGAAGTAAACATTGAATACTGCTTTCTATTCCTCCATCTTGTGACTGTGTAACTCCCTCTCTTGGATATCAGCATGTGAAGGACACTGTTCAGGAACTAGTTGATGCTCTGTATGTGATGACTACTTCCATTCTGGAGAGGATCACAGATACATGGATCCTGAGATTGAAGCTCAAGCCGGGGACCAGTGAGAGTTTTCTAACATTAATGAATAACGTGCCTGTGCTTCCTGTCAGATCCAAATGACAGACACCAGCTCGGTGGTCCTGATCCCGGAGAGCAAGCTGAACCACAGCGGGCGCTTCATCATCAACGCAGAGAACGCCGCCGGACACAAGCTGCTCAAAGTGCGCGTCACCGTGCTCGGTACGTGAACACCCGGACAGCATCTCTATAACCTGACGGTGATGTGTTGAGGATGATAAGGTTGTGATGTTGTGTGTAATAATGAACCCCTGGTGTCCCTGCAGACCTGCCCGGGGCTCCCAGAGACCTGAAGGTGAGCGACGTGACTCGAGGCACCTGCAGATTCACCTGGAAAGCTCCAGAGAGCGACGGAGGAGAGAGGGTGAAGAGCTACTTCATCGAGAAGAAGGCGGTCAACGGGAAGGCCTGGACCAAGGTACCTGACACCTGACCCTCCAGACAGACAGGAAGCTGACCCTGACCCTCCAGACAGACAGGAAGCTGACCCCTAATCCAAGGAAACTGACCCTGACCCTCCAGACAGACAGGAAGCTGACCCTGACCCTCCAGACAAACAGGAAACTGATCCACCAGACAGACAGGAAACTGATCCACCAGACAGACAGGAAGCTGACCCCTAATCCAAGGAAACTGACCCTGACCCTCCAGACAGACAGGAAACTGACCCACCAGACAGACAGGAAACTGACCCTGACCCTCCAGACAGACAGGAAACTGACCCCTAATCCAAGGAAACTGACCCTGACCCTCCAGACAGACAGGAAACTGACCCCTAATCCAAGGAAACTGACCCTGACCCTCCAGACAGACAGGAAGCTGACCCTGACCCTCCAGACAAACAGGAAACTGATCCACCAGACAGACAGGAAACTGATCCACCAGACAGACAGGAAGCTGACCCCTAATCCAAGGAAACTGACCCTGACCCTCCAGACAGACAGGAAACTGACCCACCAGACAGACAGGAAACTGACCCTGACCCTCCAGACAGACAGGAAACTGACCCCTAATCCACAGGAAACTGACCCCTAATCCACAGGAAACTGACCCTGACCCTCCAGACAGACAGGAAGCTGACCCTGACCCTCCAGACAGACAGGAAACTGACCCCTAATCCACAGGAAACTGACCCTGACCCTCCAGACAGACAGGAAACTGACCCCTAATCCACAGGAAACTGACCCCTAATCCACAGGAAACTGACCCTGACCCTCCAGACAAACAGGAAACTGACCCCTAATCCACAGGAAACTGACCCCTAATCCACAGGAAACTGATCCTGACCCTCCAGACAGACAGGAAGCTGACCCTGACCCTCCAGACAAACAGGAAACTGATCCACCAGACAGACAGGAAACTGATCCACCAGACAGACAGGAAACTGACCCCTAATCCACAGGAAACTGACCCTGACCCTCCAGACAGACAGGAAACTGACCCTGACCCTCCAGACAAACAGGAAACTGACCCCTAATCCACAGGAAACTGACCCCTAATCCACAGGAAACTGATCCTGACCCTCCAGACAGACAGGAAGCTGACCCTGACCCTCCAGACAAACAGGAAACTGACCCCTAATCCACAGGAAACTGACCCCTAATCCACAGGAAACTGACCCCTAATCCACAGGAAACTGATCCTGACCCTCCAGACAAACAGGAAACTGATCCACCAGACAGACAGGAAACTGATCCACCAGACAGACAGGAAACTGACCCTGACCCTCCAGACAGACAGGAAACTGACCCCTAATCCACAGGAAACTGACCCTGACCCTCCAGACAGACAGGAAACTGACCCTGACCCTCCAGACAGACAGGAAACTGACCCCTAATCCACAGGAAACTGACCCTGACCCTCCAGACAGACAGGAAACTGACCCTGACCCTCCAGACAGACAGGAAACTGACCCTGACCCTCCAGACAGACAGGAAACTGACCCCTAATCCACAGGAAACTGACCCTGACCCTCCAGACAGACAGGAAACTGACCCTGACCCTCCAGACAGACAGGAAACTGACCCCTAATCCACAGGAAACTGACCCCTAATCCACAGGAAACTGACCCTGACCCTCCAGACAGACAGGAAACTGACCCTGACCCTCCAGACAGACAGGAAACTGACCCCTAATCCACAGGAAACTAACTCTGACCCACCAGAGAAACCTGAAACTGACCCTGACCCCTAACCCTAGTTTTTGATCCAGGTTTATTAACCCGCTCTGGCTCCTCTCAGGTGAACCCGGCCTGTGCGGCCCAGTCTCTGGTGATCCCAGACCTCATCAACGGACAGGAGTACATCTTCAGGATCCGAGCAGAGAACCGCTTCGGCTTCGGACCCCTGGCTGAGACCGAGCAGCCCACCAAGGCCACCGACCCCATCCGTACGTACCGGAAATCATTTATTAT